CACACACACACATACATACATACATACATACATACATACACAAATAAAAATTCAAAGCATGGATCAATTTTTTTTGTGGACTTAAAATGAGCCCTCAAAATAAATCCTTCTAAAATGCGATTAAAATAAACCCTTTCACAAATAACGGATGCTACATAAAGGTAAGATATTAATCCTAACTAAATTATTTTATCAATCTATCATAAAATGTCATTCCGCATTTCCATTCTTCATAACGAAAAAAACTAGTGAGGCGACAATGTTCTTCTGTTTGTTCGAATGGAGAAGTAAAAATGATAGAACAAATCAAAAGTTAAATCAATTGGATTTTGAATTTTTTAATTTTTTTTTTCAATTTTTTTCAATAACTAAAAACGAAAAAGTCACCAAATCTGCATGTTGCTACTTTTGATGCCCAAAATTTTCCAGATTTATGAGAACTTCTATTTGCGTCTGCTTAAGAGTTTCCTATTATTGATAAGAACTAATGGAACTGTAAATCCCTTTCTTCTCTAAAGATAGACTGTAAATCCCTTTCTAGCATGATTCACGTTTTCTGCCTGTTTTTATTAAATGTATCATTTATGAACTTTATTTACGAGTAAAAATATTCCATGTTATTAGCACTAAAATGCTTATTACTAAATATTAGTCCTCAAAAAATGAATCACTTTTGAAGGGAAATTTAAAATATTATGAAAACGAACACGCACGGAAATTTTATTTTAGCTAAAAAAATCTTTATTCAAATATAAATCAATTGTTTCAAAATAACTTGTAATTTATAACTCCTATTGTATAAGTTAATCAATCCATAAATTCCGCTGTGTTATAGACATTTTAGAATTTTTCTAAATTTTAATAAAATTGATGAACATGAAGATAGAATAAATTTGCTGATTGAAAAGTGTTAAAAACTTTGTTGAAAAGTTTACACATTGCAAAAAATTACCTGTGGTGCGCTAACAATTCCTATGTATATTTCCTTGTATTCCCATCAAAATACCATCATTGATGGCACTTTTTTTTAAAATTGTATTTGAAATGATAATTTTTGATTATAATTAATGTACCAGTGAGGTGACAATGTTCTCCTGTTTACTCGAATGGAGAAGTAAAAATGATAGAATAAATCAAAGTCAAGTTAAATCGAATTGAATTCTTAATCTTTAAATTTTTTTTCAATAATTAATTTGATCAGTAGTAAAAATAGTATTTGAGCGAAAAAAAAACTTATTCAAACTTAAAAGATTCATTTTCTACACCAATAAGAGCCATTAACAAAATAAATGATCCAAGTGATTAAGTGAAGGATATTTTAAGACTCCATCATTTTTGTCCTATCATCTCTTTATTTGGACATTAGATTGTTACAGTAAGAATGAGAGAATTTATCTAAATGGAAGTGATAAGATTTAAATGACAGAGAATTATCGGAGATCAAAAGTTTGATTGAAAGTTGTAATTACTGTAATAGTAATAATATTCAAAATTTCAATAAACAAAAAAAATTTACATTTTCTTTTTTTTGAAAAAAAGTATGAAAATATTTCTATTTGAATAACTGATAGGAAAACTTTTTTAATGGAACAGTTTGAATGTGAAAAGAATAAGTAAAATAACATTTTAAAAATTTAAATTTTAAAGTATAAAAACGTAACGGAATAATTTCCTCACTATTACGAAACTTCACAGTTCACAATAGCTGACTGTTTTTTATTTTCATCCAACAAAAATTTATTCAAGCCTACTCAGTAAAGATAGCTTACAAATCAGTCATCTCACCTTATCTTTCCGTTTCATCATTTTCCACATTGCCTTGATTGGATCGATGAAAAGGCTCAATTTGAATAAAATTCAGATGACAATTGTTTTGTCATTTTTCCTTTCAAAATTTCAATAAACAAAAAAAAATTTACATTTTCTTTTTTTGAAAAAAAGTATGAAATTTTAAATGAATGAAGTGAAATGAGGAGTACAATGTTTGCTTGGATGTAAAGAATATGTGTACAGATTGCTCTGTACAGTCAACAGCCGTAACATTTAACAAAGGTAAAGGGAAGATGTTGCACCATCATTCGTTTCATTCGCTAAAATTACTCACATTTCTCTCCTTCTATTAATTCATGCTTTATCACTCAGACATTACAGCTTAGCGCAATTGGGTGTTAAATCAGAATGACCTTCAACCGTTCTCATCCTTTTCGATATATATCTTCTGCTGGCTGAAAATCTTTTATGTACATAATGTCTACTATATGAAGATGTAATGTATTTTAGAGATGCTTCCATCTTTGAAATGGATATTATTTAATAAAAAAAAAAAGTTTTATTCCTAACTTTAATTTCTAATTTGAAATCAAAAATTTCGCAAATATTTGCCATCGATTCTAAGTCTTTTTTTTTTGTAAAGAAAAAAGTAAAAATGTTCACGATAAAACTGAAAGCATATAAAGCCCATATACATATATA